AATTTATCAACTATGGAGTTTGTATTTTATTTGTCTAATTTTTAGCAATTCTTTAATATTGGAAGCATCAACTTATAAATTTGAAAAAAGAAATTTGTTTTTTTGATGATGAAGATGATCATTAGCAATTTTTTTTATTTTTTTTTTCTTTTTATAAAGTTAGACTTTAAGAAAATAGGATCCTAAAAATCTTTTCATAATCACAACTTTGTCCATAATTTACTAACATAATGTTCTATGTTTAAGCAAAACTAAAAAAATTAATAATCATGCATTAATTATCCTGCGAATAACTAAAATGATAATTAAATAAAAAAATACAAATAGATATTCAGCCTTAATTATCTTGAAATTTTAATAATATTACTGATCAAATGATTAGATGGAGTAGGTGAAAACGATATCAATGCGGGCTATAGCGCATAAATAACTGGTCAATGAGAGTTAGTATAGTTAGATAAACTTATTAATCGAACATAATTATTCTGCCACTTTAACAACATAATATTCGAATGGAGGTCATTTCATGGCCGTACTTTACTAATAACCAACGACTTTGTGCCAAATAATAATTAAATGGTTGTAGTAGAATAGTCGCCACTCTTATAATCACTATGAACTTATAGATAGAGGTTTAAGTGAGTCAAAGTAGCTTAAATCACAACAACAGTAAATATTCCTAACGATCTCGTTAGTCAAGCTTATCGAGTCACAAGTAAATTTCAACTCAAATATTATATGAGCTGAGCTTGAGCTTGGCCTGATATGACTAATCAACTTATCGTGCCAGCTCGATTAATATAGATTAACACAAGGCATTTATATCAAACTAATTATTTATTTTTTTTCCAGGTTCAAAATAAGCCCCACGTAGTGCGACAAAGGCTTCTTGTTGTTGTTGTTGTTGTATTCAAAATAAGCAATTGAGCTTCAAAATGAGTCAAAATCGAACGTTTTGTCAAGCTCAAGCATTCAAGTAGAAATTTAGCCTCATATATTTCACTTGAGCTGAGCTTGATCTATAACTCCAGCTTAGTATAAATCGAAGTAACAACTCAACTCGACACATTAACACAGCTACTAACGAGCAATTCAACTTGACTCATTTGTTTCTGAATAGATCTAAACATGAGTTGGGTTATTAGACACTTTAGATTAACCCTAAACCTAATAAATATTCCATTTAGATTGAAAAATATCTTGATTTTACATCAATGATCATGAGAAATCAAGTAGTATGAGTTAAGTTAGGGTTATTAGATAATTGAGTCTTTAGTATCATTGTACTTCTATAAATAATTGATGTGAAACATCATAATTATAGCATACCTTAGGAATATCTTATCTAGTTTGTTACAAGTTTTCTAGAATCTTCTTAGTAGCTTATATAAGCAAGCAAGATATTGCAAGGAGAGGATCATTGAATGAATATTATCTCGTTTTTAAAGCTTTGAAGCTTTGTGCTTGTGATTGTTCTCTGGATTGAAAAATCCCTTCTTGCAGGTCCGATTCTTCCGACGATCCTCACATCAATAATCTGATCAAATGAGATGCATTAGGATGTGACTGATGAATCTCCACGACTTAGCTAAATCCTAACATCTTCTTAGCCCAACTAAAGTAAATTCGCACACACATCACAAACATAAGACTCAAACTCAAAAACTCTTATTTAATAGCTAAAGCTCCCAACAAATAGATCACGGTGACAAGATTTGTGCTAGCTGGAAAAGTGGAAAAGAAGAAACGTAAGCTAGCAGTTACCAATGCACGAGTACCTATCAAGAGGTTATAATAATCGTCACTCATCCATCCGAGTACCAAATTAAACTGACATTGGCTAATATTTGGTCCACAAGGTGGTGATTTAACATCAAATGATTTAGACTACTCGAGCATTTTGTCTTCTGCTTTCTACTTTGAGGGTGGTGAGGCGACCCATAGCACTACAAAAGATAAGACAGTCAAATATATAATCCATGGCGAGTGTTAGTGCTCAACGCAAAGAGACACACAAATAGCGAAATTATTTGGATCTCCTTTTTCTGCTTGCAGTTTGGTGCTTTGTAATTGGGATGGAGATTCCTAACCTGTAGAAGGATACGAGCAAAAGATCCAACTGAGAATACTGTGTAGTGTTGTCCAGAGCTGTAGCTCTCTCTCTCTCTCTCTCTAAGGATCCGAGTCTAAGTGGTTGGTACTGTTGAATCATGGCATAAGCTACAAGTCAGCAGTAGTAATTCATTACATGGCTGAAAGAAGGGTACTTAGCAAACAATGAACATTGGTGTCTAGAGTTCGCACATGCAGCTCGCTGGTTAAGCGAAACTGTTTCCTCCTATGCAGCTCACGTTCGAACCCCTAACTGCCCCCCAAAAAAAATATTGGTGTTAATTATGGGAAAATTGTTACGTGCGGTGTTCGGATGCGTCCGGAGGCCAATCTGGATGCGCCATGTCACCCAATGCATAGTTTATTGGGTGACATGACGCGCTCGGATTGGCCTCCGAACACGTCCGAACACTGCATAGAATAATCTCTCCTATTTTGAACAGGAGTTGATTGAGCGATAACGGAGCTATGAGGCTTTTATATAAGCATATAAGATACATATGTTATTAAAAAATATAGAAATTAAATATATATTAAACATGATATTAATATGTATATATCTTAAAAATCAATGAATATCACAGCCTTTAAAGTTTGATGATGACCTTGATATGAATCTAATGCTCTTGCCATTATAGAAGATGTCCTTTAATAAAATATTCAACTATGCAGCATTAGTTGATGCGATAAATATGAAATAAAGTTGATTGTGACATAGAGGTTGGGGGAAATAACATGTTGAGTTGCAAATGATTGATTCAACTAATCAAGCAAGTTCAATGCACCACTGGAAAGGTGGGAGTCTGGTTTCAGCGACCTGTTCTATTTGGTTCACAAAAAGTGCTGTCTTGTCATTTATTATCATTTATTTTTATATATTAAGGATAACTTAATGCAATAATTTTGATAAATTTAGGAGAACTGATTAATTAGATTAATGAGAAATAGTATGGAAGAGAGACAAGAGAGGCTAATTATCTTAGAGTACTAAGGTTAACTTGAGTCTTTGTTTGGTACTAGAAAGCTGCTTTAAGAAGCAATAAGAAAGTCATATCAAACGAAGTCTAAATTATAGATTAAAAAGATTTTAGGATGTTAACGATCTAATTCTCTATGTACGAGCAATTTAAAGTAAATTTTGAATGATTTGAACTCTACTATTATTTTTGGAGGTAGAGAATATTGTCATCTGTGTGAGACTTGTTGAAGAAGAAGAAGAATAGAACCAAGATCTTGATAAAGAAGATAAGCAAGCCAAAGAGAAAACACATAGAAGAAGAACAGTAAAACTATTTCATTCTTCTGTCGAGTACAGAGGAATCTCTATATATAGAAATGAGGAGTGACACTAATACATATAAGCCAATGAGTGACTGTCACCTCAACAAACATATATAAGTATATTTATATTTACATAAAACACTATATATCTTTGTGTTCTAATATGTCCCTGCAAACTGATGGGTCTTGTACGACATTCAGTTTAAGCGGAAGTTGATGAAACTGCCGTGTTGATAGGATTTGGTGAAGATGTCGGCCACCTTATCAATGGTGCTTATTGGTAGGAGATGAACATTGTTATGTTGAATATGATCCCAGATGAATTTTTTATCGATCTCAATATGTTTGGTGCGGGCATGGAAGACAGGGTTGTTGGCTATTGCTATGGCGGATGTATTATAACAATACTTATCCATAGGGTGCATGATCTTCGTGTACTCCAAACTCGGTAAGAAGTCTTCGTAGCTAGATGATATCTGAAGTAAGTGCAACCAGAGCTCAATATTCAGACTCCATTGAAGATCTTGCAACTGTGTGTTGCTTTTTGACCGTCCAGGATATGAGAGTGTCTCCCAAAAATGGGCAATAGCCTGATGTAGATTTCTGAGAGATAGGATCTCCAGCTCAGTCGGCATATGAAAAAGATTAAAGAACAAGATTAGATTTAGTGATAGGTATACCGTAATCCAACATACCTTTGATGTACCGAAGCAGTTTTTTGAGAAGATAAATGTGTTAGGTAAGAGGATTATGCATGTGTTTAGATAATTGGTTGACGCTGAAGGCTATATTAGGTCGAGTAAGAGTCAAGTATTGCAAAGAACTCATTAGTCTTATGTATAAAGTAGGATCGGATAACACAGGTTCGGTTGGAAAATCCATAGGAAGCTTCGTACAAGTGGGGTTGGTCCAGATGAGCTTGCTGTAGGATAGATTAAGCATATAGCTTTTGAGAGAAGAAATATTATTGATTATTACGCTCAATTTTTCTACTGAGGAAGTCATGAACTTCACTAAGATGTTTCATGGAAAATTTGTCACTGAGCTTGCTAATCATAGTTGAAATTGCCTCCTGATTGTTGCCAATAACAAGTATGTCGTTGACGTAAGTATATAAAATTAATAATTTTATGTGTTAAGTATGTAAATCCTTCAAAATTTTAATATATGCTTAGGCTTTTGAAGAGATTGTCTTCAATTGGATAAGTAAATGAGCTCAACATGAATAAAAATTTTTAACTTATTTATTAAATGAGTTGAGCTAATTAAATGCTTAAAATATTTCAAATTTAACTTATTTGCACCCAACATACAAGCACCATCTCAACAACAACATAAAACCCTTCTTTAATCTTGAAAACATTGAAATGCAAAGCTTAATGTGAAATATTATTGTAATATACATTAATATAGATAATATTATTCAAATATTCTAGGATATTGAGCCCAAGTTAGGCCAGTTTAAATGTTGGCTAAAATTAATTCAAATTATATTTGTATGTTACAAAAAAAAAAAAATCTTCTAATATTTTCTTTTTAAATTCAAAAAGATTATTCTTCATGCTTTTTAATATTTAATTCATTAAATTTTAATATTTATATTTTTTTAAGGAGCCATGCAGGCTCGCATCCCCTAACACAAATTAAGACATCCACTCAGTCAATTGGGCAAATGGTAGACCAGCGCCTCTTCAGTGTGCATTGAAGATCACTATTCTAGGCCATAGACATCACTGATCACCCGTAAAGACTCCGTCCAAGTAAGTATAATATTAATGTTAACTCTTGTGTTTACCAAATAATCTTACAAGTATAGAAATATTGATAAGCATTAAAGTAAATTAGCATGTCAATAAAGCAACAAAATATTTAACAATGCATGTATTCTTAAATAACTTCAATAAATCTGTTCCCCACAGCTTAGCAGGAGAGAAATCATGCATCATTACTCCTTGCACAACATATGATAACAGTTTCATCATTTGGAGTTCTGCTGATCATTTTTCAACTTCTTCCACACCAATAAACATATCAAAAGCCTTCCTGTTGGCACTTGAATGTCCTTAATGTAAAATCAAGCTGCTCAAATTTTTTTGAAACTAATCCCATTTATAGATTCAAAATGAAAGAACATTTAGGTTTTTTTTGAGACAGCAAAGGTTGTCAAAATCGGATTTCGGGTCGAACCTGAAAGAGCTCGGGTTCATACGGGTTGACCCGAACCCAATTCGATTTTACAAACGGATAGAAAATACGAACCTGGATCCGACCCGCCAGGCTTTTCAGTTGACCTGACCTTTAACGGTATGCAGAACGGCGGAGATCGGTCCAGCACCTTGTGGTCGACGGCGCCTGGTGGGTTCGACGGCGCTCTCAGTGATGGCAGCGGCAAGACACATCGACGACGGTGGGTTCTCGATCTCAGACAGACGTGCCGGCGGACAGCGCGGACACAACGATAGCAGACGCACGCAACAGCTATCAGCGCGGACGCGACCACGAGCAATACTGTCAGCGCGGATGGGCAGACGCTGTCTCGATTTAACCCAAGTTGAGATCGGGTTACTGGGTCAATCAAAACCCGACCCGTTTGTTCAAACACGTCAAATCCGAGAACCCGAATCCAACCCTTTTGTGAAACCGGTTGAGCTAAGCCGGAATTTTTGGGTCGTGTTCGAGTCGGATTTTTGGGTTGTGTCAAATATCGACACCCCTAGAGACAATTTTCATACTTCTAAAGTAACTTTTTAGTACAAATTGCTTTAAAAGTAAAAAATTGTCCCAAATGAAACCTTAGTTGAAGATCCAAATCCTTTAATTTCCATAAATCATAATATTTCATTTTGAATAAGTTTGGTGATGCAAATATCAAATACAACCTTTTTATTGACTGTCAAGAATTCCAATTGCTCTAATCTCATTAAACTTGTTAGATATGTAGCTTAGCCTTTCTTTATCAAAATTAAATGGTAGATTAATGAAAGATAAAGATGCTAATTAATTTATAGAAAGATGAGTGGATGGATGATGGACTGCTAACCATAGCTTTTAATGAACTGTTTTTCTTGTGCTGCATCCATAAAAGATCTCTCTTTTAATTCAATCAATGATACGCTTAGATGGGAAGAAGCCCAAAATGATCCCTTATCATTCACATGTGGCCAATTTAATTTTAGAATATCACGATTCTCTGAGGTAGCTCCTCAACTTTACAAAAATCAATCCTAAATGATTCCTTTGGGATAAAATTGGAATCAATTTTATAAAATCAAGAGGGTAAATTGAGATTAATTATATATTTTATCTTCAATTAATTTATATTTGAGGAAATATTTGAGATCAATTTTATATAATTAATAGGCTAAATTGAAGAAATTGGTATGTATGGAATCTGATCGTGTTGATAGATCTGATTGTTCTATTTTCTTGAATCTCAAAGCTTGTTGTGCTTACCCCATGCTTGGGTTAAGGTGGTTGCATTCGATTTTTTTTTTGTACAACGCCCCGACGCTAAACAATAGCTAGCAAAGCGCCGCAGCGGTTTAGATACTATGCTTCAACGGTACAAGATAGATGCTTGAACAGCACAACGCCCCAAATTGGCACCGCAACACAGCAAGACAGACTAGATGGTTTTATTTCTCGTTTTTTTGAAGGGTGCATGTGAGAAGAAAAGCAAGGAGAGAGCGAGAGAGAAGAGAGATCTGTGCTTATTTCTCTCAATTTTCTTAGTGATTTTTTTGGTGTGATGTTGCTTCCTCAATTTTTGGTTTATCCCCGTTAAATCCTGGTGTCCTTTACTTTCCGTTGCTTTTACTTTCTTGCTTGTTTCATCATTGTGGCATTTACTCCTCATCTTCCCAACAGAAATATGATAAATTGGTGATATAAGATGAATTGGGAGATTGTTTTGAGCTTTTTCTCTATTTAGAAACTATTATTTTTTAAAAAAATCCTTTTATTCATTCATCTATTTTAGTTTGGTGAGAAAGGTCAATACTCAATGGATCTGAAATCCTCTAGTCCCATTAAAAAGTGGAATTCTATCTTTAAAGAAATTGCCTTACAAAGCTTTTCTTCATAAATTGGGATTCTAATTTCCCAACGTTAGAAAGAAAATAAGTGCCTCAAACTATAGGAGAAATCATACGTCCATAAGCAATCTCTTCTTACCGGTTCTGGAGAAGCCAAAGTTTAAAAAGTGTTTGATAAGATTGCCATAGCCTGTAACTCAAAATAAGTAGTTGTAGAAACACTTTGGCCTGAAACTCACAAAACAAACACACAAGAAACTCCTAAAGCTTAATCTCAATTTCCCTATCCTTCATACTCCTAGAAATGGCAAAGAAGGTCAAATGTCTCTAGTAAAAGTATTGTAACATATCACCAGAGGCAATTTATTAACAAACTTCCTTCCTCCCCAGTTCATCTCAAGCCATCTCAAATGATTCATGCGGAACATGTCTCGTAACTTGGGTTTCATTTGAGTCAGTTTTCTTACTGCTTTTTAAGCAGGAAGAAAGCTGTCCCAAATGAATCCTTAATGCTAAGATAATTAAAACAAATTTCACAAAGATAATGCTATCATAGTGTAAGCAGCATGTTATAGACTAGAGGTTTAAGGCTTCGTTTGGGATAGCTTTCTTATTAATTTGTAAAGCTACTTTTTAATACAAAAATCTCTTAAAATAAAGAAAAAGTAATGGTCCAAAGTTGTCCCAAAAATACTCAGCCTTGTGGTTGTAGGTGTATTTATTAAAAAAGAGTAAGTATGACTTACGTTTTGTTTGGAATATCTTTCTTGATACTTTCTAGAACAATATTTTAGTTAAAAATTTTGTTGAATTAAAAATTTTTGTATTAAAAAATTATTTTAGAAAGCAATCAGAAAACTGTCCCAAACGAAACCTTAATGAAGAAGACATAATTGTGGGTGGAGAATCTGTTGTTGCTTCCAATGATCTATGTTGAACAAACAATCGGAGATGCTTCTTAATATTCACTAATTGCAAACAAATTTATTGCAAAACAATAAATATAGTTGCTATCTTTACATCCATATTATCAATTCTTACAGAACGATACTCAGCTAAGAAAATCTACTCCATTAAAAGAAACTAGTTGCAAGAATTGCTATAATAAAGATCAGTTTTTCGCCAGTTGCAAGCCTGGGCCATAATTGTAGAAGATCTTGATGAATTTGAGGAGTTCTGGTAAGGAGCTATTATTCTGTGCAGACATCGGACGGTTCTCCCGTCCGATTAAGTGTTGGATACCCAGCGGTATCAAGAGGTATCGAGCGTGGGTACTGAGCTCGGTACCGAGCAATGGGGTGACGTGGAACATTTTTATTGGTTTTTGAACGCCCTCCGGACTATGCACAGAATAATAAATTTGTGGTACGGGATGAGCTTTACCTTGGCAATGGTCAACGGAAGCTTTAAGGTTTCATTTGGGACAGTTTCTTGACTGTTTTATGAAGCAATTTTTTAGTAAAAAAAATTCTCGAATTAGAAAATTATCTACTAGAAAACTGCTTATAACAATATTAAGAAAGTTGTTCCAAACGAAGCTTAAATTTTTTTTTTTTTTTTGGGACATTTAGGCCATTTAAGGCAAACTCACACACACAACGCATACACATGGACTCGAACCTTGGACCACTTGGTTGGAAGCCTAAGCTTTCAACCAATAGGCCAAGGAGAGTTGTGTGAAGCTTAAAATTTTCTATTTTAACTTTTAAAAGGATCTTTCTCGGCAACAATTTTAAAAATACTTTTTTCAAAAACAACTTTAAAAAAAAAAAGACAAAATTTCGAAAAAAAAAATATGAAAAACTGCCTTACAAACAGATTATTAGTGCATCTTAATCACAGGATTATTATGTATCATACAAAAAACTCGATCAAACATCCCTCATAACTAATTAAGCTCAACTCCTACTAACTCATCATCCCTAACACGCAACGGCTTATAGGTATAAAACCTCGCACACAACACGTAATAACCCAAATTCAGGACCTGCAAACCCGTTATAATCCAATACAAAAATTCCAGTCTTCCCTTATTCAAATCATCCACCAACCAATTAGTATACCTGTGAACCAACCCCACCAGCATCGTACTCACGTAGCTCCCCGCCGATATGGACAGCCAAAACAACCCCGCCGCCGTGCTTCTCATGCTCTCCGGTGCCTGGTCGTAAAAGAACTCCAAATGCCCTATCGATGTGAACGCCTCCGCCGCCCCGAAAAGGCCGTACTGCGGCACCAGCCAGAATACAGATAGGGGGTCGGCCGATTTCTGGCGGCGGAGAACCTCGACGAGGCCGGCGATGAGAGTGGCCGTCGCGGAGAGGGCGAAGCCGATGCCCATGCGTAGGAGGAAGGAGATGCCGCGGTCCAGCCCGGTGAAGCGGCGGGAGAAGGGGACTAGGAGGCGGTCGTAGAGAGAGATGGTGAGGAGCATGGAGAGCATGGTGAAGAGGGTCATCGAACCAGGCGGGATTTGGAAGGAGGAGGAAGGGGAGATGCGTCGGTTCATTATGCGGGCTTGTTGGAGGGAGAAGGTGTTCTGTTGGGCGGCGGCGGTGATGACGAGGATTCCGGCCGCCCATATTGGCGCCATGCGGATTAGGGATTTGAGTTCTTCGACTCGGTGGACTGTGCTGAGATGCCAAAGGTTGGGAATGGGGACGTTATTGATGCAGGAGGAGGGTTTCATGGCCTGCTTGTCTTCCTCGGTGAGGATGGCGGCCTTGTCAAGGAAACTGGGCAAACATCAAGCTCATTAGTAAATAAAAAAAAAAGAGTCAAATATTAAGAAATAATTTTTAATTGATTTTATTTAAAATATATATCAAATCTGAAGAAGAGGTTTATGACTCAACCAGTCATATTTGAATGCCAAGATAAGAGTTAGCTTCACCCAAATTCTTCATAGAGAATCTGCCATTGAGTTGTTTTATAAGCAATGATATGGCAGTTAGATTGTTACCGATTATAAGGATATGGTTCACATACATAAATAGAAATATTTTGGTGTCGTACTGCGTTTTGATTAGCAGCGAGCGATCGGATTTGCTGTGAGTAAAACCAAGTGAGACGAGATGTGAGGTGAAAATGTTATATCATTGTCTTGGTGCTTGTTTGAGGCCGTAGATTGCTTTGTTGAGAAGACATACATACTCAAGATTGGATGAGTCCACAAACCCTTGCGGTTGAGTCATATAAATTGTTTTGAAAAGGTTGCCGTGAAGAAAAGCATTTGCTACGTCGAGTTTTTGGACGTACCAGCCGTGATATAATGCAATTGTGAGTAAGATACGTATGGTTGGAAGTTTAGCAACTGGACTGAAAGTTTCATTGTAGTCAAATCCGTATTCTTGATGATTTCCCAATGCCACCAACCGAGCTTTGTGAGTTGCCTCCAATCCATCCGCATGACGCTTTGTTCAGTAAGTCCATTTGCATCCCAAAATTGATGTGTTAGCTAGAGCTGGAACAAGGTGTCAAGTTCCATGCTTTTGTAATGCAAAGAATTCGACTGCCATCGCTTTTCTCTATTCTGCCATCGCTTTTCTCTATTCAAAATGTTTCGATGCAGCCGCGTAATTGGTCGGATCTTGGTGACCATCAGGTTCAGCTTGTTTGTGAAGAAGGTTTAGTCATTGCCGCGGTTTGAGAGAACCTGTTTGAAGTCTCGTGACCATTGGATGTTGAGAAAGCTGAGCCGATGTGCTGGACGCAGTGGCCACTTGATCTGTTGAAGAAGAACTGCATGGAATAGAGTCAGTGGTTTGCTGGTTGATATTAGAGGATGGCAGTGAGTCGTATATGGAGTAGGTAGAAATGTTTGTCGGACATGGGATATGCGGAACCGAAGATGTGATGGAAGTAGGAGTAAGAAAGAATGGTAAGATGTTCTCAGATTGAGAGTTAGGTGAAGAATGAGAATTTGTAAACGGAAAAGATTGTTCGTTGAATGTAACGTGACAAGACATATAGATCTTATTGGAAGCAAGATTAAGGCATTTATAGCCCTTGTAGTGATCAAAATAACCCAGAAAAACGCATGATACGGCTTTGGGTTGCAGTTTATGCCGAAGGTGAGATGGCTGAATGGGAAAACATTCACATCCAAATGTGCGAAGCAGGGAGTACTCTGGTTTCCGATTAAATATGACTTCATAAGGTGAGACAGAGTTGGTGATAGAGGAAGGCATTTGGTTTATAAGGTATGTAGTCGTAAGAGCAGCATCCGGCCATAATTTATGTGGAACAGAGGCCTGAAATAATAAGGTTCGAGTTATTTCTATAATGTGCCCATGCTTTCTCTCTGCTAACCCGTTTTGCTTCGGAGTATAGGGACATGAGATATGGTGTGTAATGTCATGATGTTTGAGAAATTGTTCGAACCTATGATTTAAAAATTCAGTACCTCCATCAGTTTGTATACATTTGATTTGATGTGAGTTAAGTTTTTCAATCTATGTTTTGAAGTTAATAAAAATTTCAATAACTTCATTTTTATGAACTATAGGAAAAATTTATGAAAATCGTGAGAAATCATCGACAAAAAGAACGTAATATTGGTATCCTTGATTGGATACCACAGGGGATGAGCCCCAAACATCGGACTAAACCAAATCAAGAAACGACGTAGTGCTATTATTAGATTTTTCATAAGCTAATTTGTGTCCTTTTGATGCACCACAAGAATTGCAAGAAAAACTAGTAACATGCAACATCTAGAACCCGTTTGTGAGGTTGGCCCAAGCGGTTGTGCCAGATGATGTGATTAATGCTGGTTGCAGCTAGCACAGAGGTAGAGGTAGATGACTTAGGTTGACATAGTGGATAAATACCGTCATCGCATGGTCCTTGAAGAAACACTTGATTGGTCTTCAAATCCTTGAATGTGAAGCCAAACATATCAAATAAAATAGAAATGTTGTTATATTTGGTTAATTGAGAAATAGATAACAGATTATAATGTAATTGAGGAATATGAAGAAGATGCGAGAGTTCAAGCTTACGAGACGGTGTTGGGAGGATGCAAACACCTAAATTAGGGGTGTGAATTCGGGCCGGCGGGTCGGGTTCGGGTCGAACCCGAAACTGACCCGGCACTGTTCGGGTCAACCCGAACCCGACCCGATTCGGGTCCGGGTCAACCCGATCCGACACGAATGACCCGAAGTTGACCTAAAATTGCTAATTTTCGAGTCAAAATCGGGTCAATATTCGATTTTCGGGTCAAAAACGGGTCAATCTCGGGTTTTCGGGTCTAAGATGAGTTTTCGTGTCACTTTCGGGTCAATTTCGGGTTACTGGGTCAACCCGAACCCGACCCGATTTTTAAAACGGGTTGATTTGTTCAATCCGAACCCGACCCGTTTCAGGTTCGGGTTGACCCGAACCCGAATTTTTTCGGGTCGTGTTTCGGGTTATGTCAAAAATTGACATCCCTAACCTAAATGTGTTATGGGTACAAATCTTCCATCGCTCACAATGACATTATCTGAGCCGTGATATGGAGTGGAGATGCTGAGATTGTCCAAAGAGTTAGTAATGTGAGACGATGCGCCTGAATCAAGATACCACTCCGTGGAAGCCGAATCCGCATTTGCAACCAGAGCCCTGTTGGGTGTATTTGGAGTTTGTGGAGTGTACTGGTTGTTCATACGATGCCAGCAAATTGACGCAGGGTGACCCTTCTTGTTGCAAATTTGACAAATAACCGATGTTGTTGTAGAGGAGCAATTGTTGGTGTTTGTATACGATGTATTACAGCCACGGTTTCGTCTCCCTCACCCTCTATAGGAAAATAAAGCTCTGTTGGAGTCAGCGATAGACACCGCTCGAGCAGCTTCGGAAGCAAGATTGACCTCTTTGCTAAGAAGGAGCGAATAAAGATCATCAAGACTTATTGGTGTAAGCATTGTCCTAATGGATGTTTTGAAGGCTTGATAAGAGGGTGGTAGTCGGTTTAGAGTATACAATCTTCTGTGTCCAGATTTGATCCCGCAACTGCCATTTGATCTCCCAGGGATTTGATATTTGTAAAATATTGCATCATTGTTGAATCTTTCATTGAGATATTATGCAGCTCATTTTTGAGTTGTATTACCCTTGATCGATTGGATGACTGAAAGCTTCTTTCAAGTGTTATCCAAATCACAGATGTTGAATCAAGATTTATGATGTAGGGTAATATCGATGGAGAGATTGTCGAACAAATCGCTGCGACCAGGTTTTGGTCAGTCAAGAGCCACTAGTCGTACGCCGGATTTGGAGTTTGAGTGGTGGATCCCTGTGATAGCGGAAGCAGACGGGAGGCATGAGGGAGGGACAAATCGAGAAATTTGTCAAAGCCATTCGCTCTGAGTAGTTTCAATATTTGCTAGTGCCACAGAGTATAGTCATTTGTGGATAGTTGAGTAGGAACAATGTTCTTCAGGTTGGAGAGAACAAATTTTAGGGAAGACGAGATACTTGTGCCATTCTCCGCAAGGTGATCGGACTGATCACCAACTCTGAACGCTGTTGATCCCACCATGAAGGCACAACGATTTTCACACCCGCTCTGATACGATGTTGAAACAGAGAATTCTTGATCTTGGATCATGAACTCATGAATGCAAGGAAAGAAGAAGAAGGGAGAACAGAGAAGAATTGCTAAGCAAGAAAGTAAAACTATTTTTTCATTTTCATCCAGCACCGTAATACATCAGATATATATAGACCTCTTACTTGTGTGTGACACTTGTACAGAGATAATATAAAGGTCTAGTAATACATTTGTTAGAATACAATAACTATGTATTTAACATTTCTGGTAATGTAGTATTGTGTTCTAATAAGTCAAATAGGTTCAATGCGAAGCCGATTTTTAAACTAGTCGGATTGGACAATTAACCTGTTCACGGTGGAATGGACCGGTCTAATCCAATTTTTAAAACGCTATATAATTACACAATTTATTTCATATTAAAATAAGCTTCAAAACTTTTAAATTTAGATTAAGATAAGATATACATATATATATATATATATTAAAATTAATACTATATATGATATTGGCTATTTTCTGCACAAATTAAAAAAGTTTAAAGATCATACCTTTTAAAGTTTTTTTCATAGAAAAATATTTGAGATGCATGTAGCTAACATTGATTTGTTTAGGACTTGTAATTTATTAATTAGAAAATAGTATGATTAGTGTTAATTAATTATAATCATATGAGGGTAACATCTTTAGAATTCTTTAAGTTCAAAAATTTTCCCCAACGGTTCTATCTCAATTACACAAGCATTTTACAGAATTTTCAAAGGGATATTTTAGTTATTTCACTAAAAATTTAGGATATCCCATCAAATAGTATGAATTAATTTCCCTTCATTATTTGTTATTTTCATCATGTTAAGATATTATTTATATAAAAATGAGTTATCTTGGCCTTTGTCGAAGTAATTAGTTTTATTAAGTCGGTTTAATCTTCTTATTAGTTTGCAGATTAGTTAAATCAATGTTTTAACTTTATATCTTGAAAAAAAATTATTTTTAATACTTTCTAATCAAATATTCTTAGGCCTACCACTATTTTTCTCAACATAGGATGGGTCTAATACATCTATCCTCTTAACAGGATTACTAAAAGTCTGATGTTTTATGCTAGAAAAAAAAGAAAAAAAAATCTTCTGAAAATAGAAAATTGTTAGAGCAAAAATCAAGACTTTCTCTAACCATAGGGTTTTATTTTCTGCATTATTTAATAGAATAATTAAAGATCTAAACTCTCATCATAAAGAGAAATTTGAATAACTATTTTTTTATAATTATAATTAAATTCACTAAATAGTTAAAAAAAGGACAAATTTTTAAAAGCGATACGGCATGAAATTTAACAAGCACAAAGAATACGTTACAACATAAATTTGTGCACACAACCCAATCGTTATATTTGTTAACGAATTGCTAGCTCAGATGGTCGAGTGGGTCACGACTAAGGCTCGAGTTTGAAAAGGCGACGACTTTCCATTCTTTTCGAAGAGCGACAACTCGAGGTCGAGTCATTTTGATCGCTAACGAATTTTGAGTCATTTTGGATGCGGATGACTCGCAAGGGTGAGTCGTTTTGGGTATCAGGACCGAGCACCAAAAATGGCCAAGCGCTGAGATTCATTGGAGTCCATCCAATGTAGGTAATTCATCGTAACAGTGTACCCCAATGCCTACTCAGTTGTTCACTTAGGCATTTATCCCATCATTTGCGCATCTTAGTGTCCACGTCAGTGATGACCATACTGGCGATCATGTCGAAGAACATCATGAACTTCGTCATTGGCCAATTCGTTGGCCTTATTTTCGTCTATAATGCTTAACACATCTAATAACTCACATATTTTCAGTTCTTTCTACATATTTGGATACATTGTTTTTCTCTGTCGGGCACTTTAAATACTTTCAATTAAAAGGCTTAATAATATAATAGAAGTTGAAGTAATTTCAATAAATTTAATTAAAAGGTTTAATAATAGGAGCATACTCTAGAACCATATGCAAACTAATAGAACTCATACAACATTTCAAAAAAAAAAAAAAAACAATTTATAATTCACTAAATAAATTAATTTAGGTTTATGATTAAAGGTCTTCGAACAACAATTATATTAAGATAATGTAATATATAATAATTGAGATGTCATCAAAAAATTTTCTTGATCAGGCACGTATCTCAAAGCAAAATTAAATTGGGAACTTCAAAAATTAAATCCAGGACCATCTAAGCTTCAATTTCAGCAAACATACAGTTGAACTGAACGTCTTGGAAATACAAACCCAACGACACCAAATTTGACTTAATCTGAGCTCAAATGAGTCCAAATCAAAGACTAGAAACGCATTCGGAAGGTTCAATTAAACTATAATTTGGATTACCAAATGATTTCCAAACGTAACATGATTATAGTCGAATTGAGCGGCTCGACAAGACGAATCCAACGAGCCCAAGATCGCTGAATTTTGATATCACTAAGACATTTAAATATCCAATGAACGGTCCATAATCAAGGGAATCAGCATCGGCTGTCCATAGAGGAAGAAACCCGGGGGGGGGGGAAGGAGGCCCAAACAAGAAGGGAAGAGAAGGAAGAAGCTCCTCCTCGATCACCGCCGGAACTCTCGACTTTCAAGTGACACCGGAGTTTCGTCCGACCTCCAAGTGACGCCGGAGTTCCTCCCGACTTTCAAGTGACGTCGAAGTTCTGTCCGAACTCCAGGTGACGACGGAGTTTCGTCTGATTTTTAAGTAACGTTGGAGTTCTGTCCGAATGCCATTTGACACTGGAGCTCTGCCCAACCGCTGACTAACATCAGACTTATATTTGATGTTGGGCTTCTGCCCGACGCTGGAATTCTGCCCGTCATCAGAATTCCGTCGGACTTCTACCTGTTGCCGAACCTCTCAGCTGTCGAGTTCTGCACGCAATATAGTCCTTCCGACTATGGTTCTTCAGACTTCTACCTAATGGCAAAACTCTGTCCATCACCGGACTTTCGTCGGACTTCTATCCGATGCCAGACTTCTGTCCATCGCAGACTTATACCTAACACCGGACTTGCACCCATCGTCAGAGTCTTATTTGACACCGGACTTCTGACAGTCACCGTATTCATACCAAATGCTGGACTTCCGCCCATCGCCGGATTCTTGCCAGACGTCGGACTTCCGCCCGTCAGCAAAATTCTATCAGATTTCTACCTGTCATCAGACTTCTTCGTGTCGTAGGACATTCGTTGGACTTCTACCTGACGTTCTACTTCCGACCTTTGTCGTCAGGCAACGATCTTTATGACCTCTGTCGCATGTCGACTACAGTCCTTCCGACTTACGTCAGTCACCGACTACAGTCCTTCCGACTTCCATCGTCAGGCACGGACTTTATGACCTCCATCATCCGTCGATTATGATCCTTTTGACTTACGTCACCCACAACTATGGTCCTTCTGACCAAACAAACATATCAACAATGATTCTTTGTATTCCCACCATGTAATGTACTTTATATGATACACATAAACCTAAGGCCTTCCCCCAAGGAAGTGTCTCATTTGTAATCAACGGTAAATATTAGTTGATTCATTTAAACTGGGCTGAGCCCTTTGGCGTTTTCCCTTTTTTAGGAGTTTTTCACGTAAAAATATTGGTTTCTCTTATAAACTGGGATAGGCCCGTGATTTTCTCTAGAGATTTTCATACAACGCTAAGACGTTAAACTTTATATTTCTCTACCGCCGCGAATACTCCAGGACACAATAATAATAAATCAAAAGTGAAATTTATTCTAATCACTGGCTTCCTATTTAATTAAAATAATTAGTAGAACCAAATATTCATATATCAAATTAATTTGGTTTTTAAGCGAGGCGAGTTATCTTTTTTTTTCTTTTCTTTTTTTCAAATCAAAACGACAGGTTAATTCTTCATATTGAATCATCTAAAGACATTAAATAAAAATTAAAAAAAAAATAATATGATGGCTCTCCTATCTAATTCTTAACTTTTTAATTGTGCTGAAACTCATAGGCCCAATCCATTACTACCCTCCCGCCAACCCGCTGAAACCGCTTTCCTAAACCAGCCCCCTTGGCCCGCTCAACCCGCTCTCCTAGACCGGCCCGCTGGCCAACCCAACTACCAAAACATCCAGCACATCGGCCAAGGATAGGAAATATTATTACGTCCGGATAAAAAATTGAAAATCCGGATGAATACCGAGTGCTCGAAACCGAGCACCCAAGTGACGTGACGCTCTGTTATTGATCTCTAGACGCGTTCAATATCCGGATACAATAATTACTCCAAGAATAAATCAGCAAGCCAAAAAAAAATTTCGCTCCACCATATCTTCTTCAGCTAAAGACAAGTTTTTGAAAATTTGTCCTAAAAAAAACACACATAAAGTGATAAAACAACAAATTTGGCACGGGGCCTTGTTACAAGGATACCCAAGTCCAGGCTGGAAGACACGTGTGTTTTGTCACTGATAATTGCACACAGCCAAAAGGCCCAAAACTCCATGGATAAGTCCACTAAGGGAGAAGGCCCAGCCTCCATAAACGGGTCTAATTCATTACCTCTGTATATCTTACTTGATAGGTGGGTGGACTGGCTGGAACCGAATTTGTTTTTTTTTTTTTAAATAAAAATCTTAATAAACAATAGCTATTGATAAATATTTTAAATATAAATTCTTTATGCGTTCATTTATGTTTAGCCATTTACTACTACTATCTAAAAAATACATCATGATAATGGAATAATACGCGATGGTCGGGACGAGTGTCAATGATATGGAGTGATGACTGCAGAAGAAAGAGATCATGATTTCATACGAGATTATGTGCGGAGGCTTCATGAGTGATCATCACTTATACTCCAAAGGCTTTGTGTGAGGGTAGGAGTGTAAGTATGCCGAGCCGGCTCGAGCTCAAATCATTAATGAGCTCGTGAGTAGAACTTATCGAGTTTCAAGATTGAGCTCAAGTTCTATCTATATGATGCTTGGCTCGATTAGTCGTCGATCGTCTCGATTAAAAGTGAAAGGCGAACTCGTGGAAGACGAAAGGCGAAGAGCAAAAGTCGTTTGCCCGTGCAAACCGCGGAAGGTGAAGCGTGCTGTGCTTTTGCATGTGTGAATTGTAGAAGACAAAAGGCAGCCCACGGAAGGCTCGCGAGCTCGTTTTCCATTGCACAAGTCGAGCTCGAGCTCGCCTTCTAAGCTCGAAGCGAATTTGTGCGCGGAATAAAATGGTATTTATGTAAATCCCACTCTAATTTATTTAATCCGAAAAATCAAACCGAATGAAGCATATTTGATTGGTTTGATTTAGATTTATTATTCACCATAAGAAAATTCTCCTAAAAGAAGAGAAAGCGCACCTGATGCTGCTGGTGTGCCCCAGCTTCCCCGCCAACGAAATCCCCTTGTCAATCTCATCATTCTCGTAGAGCAATCCCGGCTCCATCTCCACCTTCAACCTCCTCTTCCTCGCCGCCGCCACCGCCACCTGCGCCAACCTCGTGAACGGGCTTCCCGCCGGCCTGGCCATCCTATACATCGGGTATCCGGCCACGAACGAAATCAACGAGATCCCCATTCCCACCGTCGGAATCCCTAATCCCCATCCCCATCCAACGTTGTCCTGCACGTACACCACAACGGTCACCGCCAAAAGCATCGAAGCCCCCATACAGAAATAATACCAATTGAAGAATCTCCATGTTCTTCCCTGCTCTCTTTTGCCGGCTTCTCCGAATTGCTCGGCGCCGAAGGCGACCACGCAGGGCCTTATTCCTCCGGCCCCTACCGCGGCGAGGAGTAGAGAGAAGTATAGGACTGCGAGCTGCCATGTTAAAGCTTCCTTGCAGGGGTGAGCAGCGCCGGCGGAGCAAGGCAGCGGACGGAATTGAGGCAGAGTGGCTGAGGTCGTCAGGCTCGACATTCCCTGTAAAAGGAATATTGGTGTGAGAAATACAGCAAAAAAAGGGAAATTTATATCTTATTTTAAATTGTCTCCGAATATTCGGACTAAAAGCAGAGGATCCTGATGACTAACTATGAGGTAGATGAAGGTGGCGCCGGCGATGGTCCAGAAGCGGCCGATATAGGCGTCGGCGAGAAAGGCACCGAGAAGAGGAGTGAGGCTGGCCGTGCCGCCGAAGTTTGTGAGGGTGGTGGCGGCTTTAGCCACCGGCATATGGAGCTCTTCTGTAAGGTAACTCACCATGTTTGCTGAGAACCCCACCACCGCTAACTTCTCCGAAACCTCATTAGCTACAGTTCAAACAACCACCTTTAGAAGAAGAAGAGGAAGGATAATAATAATGGTATATATTTAGAGTAATTACCGAAGATGAAAGGCATGGTTTTGATCCCTCCTCTCCATTTTTCATGATGGCCTACGTTTTGCTCTCCCTCCTCCATTACTGTCTCCGTCATCACTGAGATCTGAGCTACTCATACTTCTACAGTTTTAGGGAGTTATATAGACAGCTAGAGTTCAATTTACCTTCCAGCTCGGTGAGATTGGGACAATTACAGACGAGACAAACGTTGGTACAGCTAATGCTACTGTAGGTGTATTATTATATGTTATTATGTACCATCGATTCTCTTATTAGAAAAAAAAAATCTTTTTAGTTTTGAATTGTCATTATTAGTTTTAAAAATAAAAAAAAATATATAAAATAGTTTATTTTATTTAAAAAATATTAATAAAATTAATTTGTAAAACGGACACCTAATGGTCCCAAAATACTCACTAATACCGATAAATATCAATTTCTTAAGAATTTTCATCGGTGCCCAAAAACTATGAAAATATATATTTTTATACTATAATATCAATGATATGATGAAAAAGTTTGTTATTTTGATTTATATTAATCCTACAAAAATTATTTGATTGGATCAAAATACGAGCGAATCACTTAAATCACATTGATTTCTTTTTGTGTTTTGATCATGTGAGTTTTTTGCCGCTGTTGTTGCACAACAGTCTCTTCTCAATTTCAAATATTTTCTCGTTAAATCTTGATGTTCATTTCCTCAAGTGAAGGGATCTCACAGTTCATTTCTATTTTTTTTTCTTTTTCGTTACACGACTTTCTTCCCAACATTTTGATCACTTTTAGAGATTGGCACTCCCTATCATTAGCAACAATAATAGAAATCATCTAGGATCTTGCATACTGATTAAAAAACTAATGGAGGCCCAAATTTTCCCCCAAAAAAAAAAAAAAACTAATGGAGGACAATTCAAACACGTGTATAAAATAATAGACAATAATGCAATGATGATTACTCTGTATATAATTTACTAATATTATAAGATTCTATGCGGTCGGTTTCAACAGACGTCACCGTTTTTTTGACCGCAGCTTCGTCGGCTTGACTCTGTGGACTGATTAGAACGAGAAGCGAACGCTGAGAATAGACAGCGAAGGATGGTCTTATTATTTTATAGTTTAGATAAGGGTGTAAATATTTTACATGACCCGAAAATTCAATCTGAACTTAATTAAAATTTTTAGATTAGGATCAACTTGTTTGTCATATTGGTCAGATTCAAGTTCAACAAATTGACCCATTTAAAAGATTGAGTCGGGTTCTGGGTCTAAACCTGAGAATGACATGTATTTGATCCGGAAATATCACTCCATTCTCGCCTAAAGCCCTACCTTGAAAACCCGACCTGAAGACTTCGATGCGAGGAGGTTGGGTTGTGCAGAGCAGAGGAGAGTGAGGAGGCGGACTACCCTTTCCACTTAACAACGATTAGAGCTTGCACCTGTAAGCCGAGTCTATGGAAACATCCAGCTCATCGACAACACAAAAGCCATGGAGGATTGCGCGGATGGTGCAACAGACCTCATGTGTACGACGGATGCCGCGTAGAGAGGTGGTGTAGAGGCCTTCAGAAATCACGCAAGCTCGCCGTTTGTTGGATCGGTACGTAAGCTTGGTCAGTCGCTCGTTGTGAAGGTAAATAATTTCTCCCGTGATTTCATGTCGGGTTGGGTCAACCCAAAAATACTACAGGTCGGGTTCAAGTCATATCAAACATTAGCGGGCCAAAATTGGGATCAACTCACAACCCTATTTTGACACCCCTAAGTTTGCATCTAAATTTTCAAAAAATTCGATCTATTAAAGCTACCTTTGAAACATCTTTTTAATATTCTCTAAAGCAGCTTTTACTATAAATATTTTTTGAATAGAAATTTTTTAAGTCGGAATTTTCTTAAGATCGAGCTCCATAGACAACTTCATTAAGCCAGATTATGAGATAATTCAATAACAATAAAGAATTGGTTAGCAATATAATTTGTTTGATATGACTGATGAAAGAGTTCAGTATTGTTAGAGGAGCAGATGCAAGAAATTAATGCATGATGAAGATTGCTCTACTCCACATTTACTTCTCAGGCCCATATTTTCCATGATTTCATTATCAAATGAGCTAAAATTAATTGCCACATTTACTTCTCAGACCTACAATTAATTGCTCAAATAATTAGCAATAATCTCAAAGAGTGGAAACACTTAAAAAATCAATCTTAACCATTTTATACCAAAATCACTTCTCTTGCTCTCTATTGAGTGAAACCAGCTTTTGGTATGTTTCTCCATGCTTGCATGTTTCTAAGAGAATAAAATTTTGTTCGGGATGACTTTCGTACTGCTTTTTAAAATAACTTTTTAATATATAAATTATAATTTTTATACTAGAAATTTGTTTTAAGAAGCTGTAAGATTTCATTTGGGACGACTTTCTTACTGCTTTTTAAAACAACTTTAATTTTTGTACTAAAAAAATACTTTAAAAAACAGTAGAAAAGCCGTCCCAAACAAAACCTAAATTTAGAGTTTTCAATATTTAGAGAGAGATATCCTGATGTTGAATGCCATTTTAATTCTTAGTACATTAATGCTTCTAAATCTCTATTTAATTTCATTCTCTTGTTGGCTTGATTGTTCCTCAAAGTCAATGAAATCAATGGTGTTATGTTTAGTATGAAGAGGGATAAAACTCTAAGCCGAATAGATTCACTTCAAAGTTTTTAGTTGACTTTTAAGATATTATTTATGTGACAACCCATTTAAGTAGTATAAATAGGGGTATAGGAGAGACGAGCTCGACTAGTTCATAAGCTCACGAGTCGAGTTTATAGAACCACAAGTTTGAGCTCGAGTCTATAATCAAGCTCGAGCTCAGCTCATAAGATAATTGAGCTGCTCAATTATCATAAATATATTGAAAAAATAAATTAAATATTAAAATCTATTTAAAAATTAATTTAAATTAACATTAGATATTATATTTTAAACCTTTTAAATTAATTCCACAATAAAAATAAAAAATCTAAGAAAAAAACTCAAAATTTTAATTTATAACTAAAAAATTGAGCTTAACAATAGAGTCAGCTTAAGCTTTCCAAACTAGTCTATTATTTTTTTAACAAGTCTAGCTCGAGCTTAGTAAAAACTAAACAAACTTAGTTGCAAATACCAAACTCGACGCAACTCTTTTACACCCCTAAGTACAACGCTTAACTCTCTAATGCAGTTGAGCAACACTCTTATTTTTAAGTAGCTTCATCATAATTAATATGACAAAAAAAAGCACCTTGATCGGTCACAAATCTCGATGCAAATATGAGTTTGATGCTTTTAAATTAAAATCCAGGATCATCTAAATTTTGATTTCAGCAAGATTATAGTCAAATTGAGCATCTTGAGAAGACAAACCCAATGACACTAAATTCAGTCCAATTAGAGCCCAAAAAAGCTCAAATGAAAGAACAAAATCATTCTCGAAAGCTTTAAATCATTAATTGGATGATCAAATGATATCCAAATATGACACACTTATAGTTGAATCTAGCGCTTGACGAGATGAATCCAACGAGCTTAAGATTACTCAATTTTGACATCATTAAGACGCTCAAATACTTGATAAATGCTCAATGATCAAGGAAACTAATATCAACCATCAGATAGAACACTTCCAACATGCTCTAGATTTTATCCATAATTACTAGCCATGCACTCCGAGAAAGGGTATTATTTGTAATAAACCATCAAAACTAGTTGATTCATTCAAACTAGGTTAGGCCCCGTGGTTTTTCCCTCGGGATTTTCCACATTAAAATCTTGGTGTCTCTCATACATGATGCAACATACTTTTTTATCTGTTTGTGAGCTGAATCTTACTACAAAATTAAGACGCTAAACTTCATATTTCTCTACCGCAGCGAATATTCCACAACAATAATAATATTAATTTTATTTTTAAGCATATATATCTTTGTAATTCTTTTGATAAAATAATTGCTAATTTTTAATAGGCTAAATATGATCCAATTGTTGATTATTCACCTTGCGCATACTATTTTTATTCATAATTGAGACATTATCAACATTATTGATAATGTCTCCCTTGCAATCGAGCTCAACAAATTTCAATTCAAAATATTTACCTAAAGTTGTTCATGCAATATTTGATCTTTATTATGGGTGTCAAAATGAGTTTTACGGTCGGATTCGGATCCAACCCCAAATTTACCCGCTCTTAATATGCCGACCCAAACCTGACATGTTTATCTAAATGGGTTAAAATCTAAGATCTGAACTCGACCCGTTCATCAAACGGGTCAACTAGAACCTGAAATTTCCAGCTCAGGTTGACGAGTCAGATCAATTTTTGACATCCATTTCTTTATATAACTTTTGATAATGTCAACAAGAATGCTCTCCTTCATAGGGAAAATTATTAAGTTCGGACACCGGACGTAGATATAAGTCCGGACTCCAATAAAATATTTACATGTGAAATGTACACGTGTCCGCGGAATTTTTAATCAAGCGTGTCAAAAGCTCAGGTAAAGCACAATCAAAGCGCAGTCAAAAAGCATAGTCAAAGCGCAATCCACATGTCAAAATTTAATTGGATATCCGGACTTATTTCTAGGTCTGGTATCCGTACGTAATAATTTTCCCCCTCATAAGCAATCTCGTAGAAGTTCTCTTTTGACTTTGTGAATTTGGTGATCATATATATCCTTTTCTATTATTATCCTGATTAGTTAAATCCAAAATTACTTATATACACTTTAAATATTTTATTTAATAAATTCACATATCTTGTTTTTGAAAATTTCCCTAAAACAGATAAGATTTCTCATCAGTCCCACCTACACCCTCACAACATGCTCTGTCATATTTCTAATGCAGAGACAATGATCAAGTTCAACACGTGACTTTGTCATCAGTTCAGTGGATACTACGCAAGAAGTCGGCGAGGGATGGCCAATTTATTCCTTCAATATCTTTTATTTTCGTCTTGTTATACTCTGCCTTCTCATCCTCATATTTTTATATTTGCTTCTATGAAATATAAATTTCCTAAAGTTTTCATATCAAACGTTAAAATTGTCCTTTCTCCTTCAAACTCGAATGCATGATTTTCCCTTTCCTAATTTAAGCGTTAAGAGTCCCACATGT